TAACTTCTTTGTCTGTGAACACATGATAGATTATTAGAATAATAGCAACATGTGTGGCCAACATCTGACAATAATAAAAGAAGACTATTTGGGCTTACCTGGATTTGTCTTTTTTTTTTCAGCAAAGACAAGGGCCATTAATGTGCAGAGAGACACATCTCGACTGTCTCTGATTGTGTCCAACTCTATTGAGGCTTCTTGAATTTGATCTAAAATAAAATGTCATAGTAAAGAATGATAGATAGCAAAATAAACACTTGTCCAGCCAGAAAAAGACCATGCTTTTTTGTTTTTTAACTAAACATTTACAAGCTTACCTTGCATGAGGTTGCCATAAGCGTGGAAGAACATGTAGATAGGATCATTGCTGAATTTCCTCTGCGCAGCTGCTGCAGCGTTTACAGCGTGATTGAAATATTTTTCATAGCAATAGCATCTGATCAAAGCCTGCAGAAATAGATAAAGAAGACCCTGCGTTATAGGACTTTTAAGTGGAGATAGCTTGCAGCAAAACAAACCTACTGCATGCATCCAACGCCAGGGCTCAACGCTAACTTTTAAAAGAGGTTGAGAGGTTGGCAACCAGGCATCAGCTTTTGGTTTCCAAAACTGAAAATACGGTTGCCATTTTTAGTCACCTTATATTTTAAATAATTAAGATACTATACAGTTATACATCAACTTAATAATGAAAACGTGACACAAAAGAATGCTCAAATGCTTTACAATAAGTAATTAACACAATTATTTGAAACTTAAGTGGTAGTAAAATTGTCCACCCTCAATTGCTCGTATACAAAACACCAGTAGTGCAGCAGATCCCTCACAAATGAATTGAGCAAGTCACTAGTTCTACACTACACTAGTCACTAGTTCTCGTCACATAAGTTAATTTTAAACGTTTTGAAAGCACGGGCGATAAGTCATCTATCGTTTAGGTCTAACAAGGTTACTTTCTGTATACATTTGCAGCAATCCGAACTGATTTAGCGTTAGCATTTTTTCTCTGTCCTTGGGTTTCTGAAATATGTCGCTTACCAACGTTGTCTCTTCATCCTCCATCTCGGCTGCTTAGTGCTTTAACAGTAGCTGACGTGAAGTAACGGCCAGTTTAACCCGTCTGCATTGACGTTTCAAGCATCAAAACAGTATTATTGATGTTTCCGTTGTGTTTTCGCCATCTTGCACCCACACCTTTAGCGTTGCCCGGTAACTTAGTAACAGCTAGGATTCATAGATTATTTTTCTCCGAGTTTTATCTTTCAGGCACCACTTCCTCGCCGGCCGCTTGTATGCCCCGCATCTTTTAGTACTTTTGCCACATCCAAACGCAAACTATAGTACATTTTCTTTTAACTATATCAATAAAAGCGTACTTGAACTTATTTTGGATGATTTTTGATGAAGAGTGTTGATTTCTAAGCCTGGTAGTAAGCCTGAGAGACTAAATCCAGGAAATATAAACACGCAATGCTTACACTTGAGTCAAGCTAATGTTGCCTTTCAAGCAGCTTTCAAGCTGCAGGTGGCGCTGTCATCCTATTATTAATTATAATAATAATAATAATAATAATAATAATAATAATAACAATAATAATAATAACAATAATAATAATAATGAAATTAATAAATACATACATGGCAACAAAAACTCTCAGGCATTTGAAGCAACAAGCTGAAAAGGTCTATATCGTGTCAAGTTAGATTAAATCTATTTTGAATATATGGAAATGATTTCAGGGAGCGCTTTGGTTACACTCACTGAGAGTGGATTATTCTGATCAGTAGGTTTGTTTGGAATGGCCTTCCGTTTGACCTACACAATTATACTGAGGATATGCATTGTTATAATTAAGGAATCTTTTCTCATGTTTCTCATTGTGTTACATAAACTATGTTATTGTTCAACCTATCAAAACAAGAAATAAGAACGTTTTGACACCTATTAACAAATCTTTACATAGTTTATCATGTGCAGTGGAATTCATCCAGCCAGTGTAATTGGAGGCCATGTTATGCAACACCATGCATTGACTGTAACGTTATGAACTCTTGATGTTTGCAGTGGTAAGTCCATGACAGGATCAGCCAGTGTCCAGCATGGGTGCAACTGTTCCGAGGGGGAACCTTTCCATGCCTTGTCAAATACTATTTAGCACTAACCCTGGCACATAATCATTACTCTCTGCAGCACACATCAATGGAAGAGTAAATCAGGTTGATATCGAGCTCTGAGCATGTAATCGATGGGAAAAGTCTGCGTAGGCCTACTGTACCCATAGCTTTGAACGCATTTTGTGAGAGGTTATATTAACAGAACAAATTGTAGAAACATAAAATAGATGATATTTATCAATTTAATATATTCACTTTTTTGTGTCGATTAATTAATTAACCCAATTAATTGTATTTTCCATTATAGACAAAGTATGGTAGATTGTATACTCAAGGTGTTGTACTTAGCAAAGAACAATAAATAGGCTACTGCATGTGTTGTAGCTCTTAGAAAGAATGCATTTGAAAACCTATTAGAGTTAATACTGTGGAATATGTATCCCCTGGGATATTGTGCTATAGCATTCTAATGGCTACATCTATTGAAGTTTGAACAGACCATTATTGATCAAAGAGCCATGTCCTATAATACAAGTAGCTCACTTGCAAACTTATTATTTTATTTATTTAGCTTTCCAAATGTGCTGCTTAAAATGTGATTGCAATGCATTTCTTACACATACATGCATGTACTAATTTACCAGTGTAAATACACAAGAGGTATGTTGATGGTTGAGGATTTCATATCATTACACATTGATAGGATTGTTGCAATATCAAGACACAAACATAGAAAAAGAGTGACTCTTTGTACAAACCTCTGTTGTATTCCACAAGGTCTTTCTGTAAACTGCTCCATTTGTGTTTGTGTGTGTTGTGAGTTACTGAGGGAGTGGTTCACTTCACAGTGTGTGTGATTTAGCAGTTGAGCTAAAGAGTGAGTGTGTGAGTGTCTGTATGCGAGTCTGTGTGTCTGTCTATTAGCAAATAGGGAAGGTAGGGGGTACTCCACACCACCTAATCTAATGGGTTTTTCCTCCCATCTCTCTGCAGCAAATGAAATTACAGAGCTGTTATGGGTAGCATTCTCAGATTTCTCTTTCAATTGTTTTTCCCTCGCTCCCCTCCATGCATGCCAGTGGCTGAATCCCAAGCCAAAGAGACATCCTTTCATATAACATGTCCACATATTATCTACCAGCTTGCGAGACTGCAAGGGTGGGGACAGCAGACCAACTTCCGACCTTCCACCCTGATGCAGTCTAACACAGGAGCTTGATGTCATGTTGCTGGGCAACCGGAAAGGAGAATCTGCAGCATCACTCTTGATTTACTGGTCATTAAAATAGGCAATATGTAACCCCACCTGTTGTAATCAGTGGAGCTGTGTGCTGGTTCTAGTCCTACATTTCAAAGGACATTGGCTCTCTTAAACAGTTCACATTATAAACAATACTTTTTTTTACAGATAAAGAATCTTTTGAGTTTCTCTAAACAGTAATTTGTTGTCATGATGTCTTGAGTTATGTTGGCAAACATGTTCAGAAACAGCTCAATTGTACTGCTGGCTTGTCAGAAAACAACATGTGAGCCATACAGTACTGTGAGGGGGTGTGGCACAAACTGATAATCATATCATTGTGAGACAGTATGGCAGGAATAATCAGCACTTTACCATCATCTTCTTGTTTACTGCCTCCAGTATTCAACAGCCACAATAGGCAAAAGCGTTATTGGGCAGTAATGAATATTTCGACTGTTATTAATAATTAATAAAAATGTTCCACCCACTTAAGATGCTAATAGTTTCCGGTAGTAGCCACAAGGCACACTCAGAAACCAGATTCTAGCTTCTTGCAAAGATGTTTGGTATAAACATAGTGCTCACTGAAATGATAATATCATAAACCTGTTCATATGTTCACATCTGAAGCTCCCTTCTTGGCCTGGAGCAACTCAAATATTTGGAAGCTATTTTTACATATATTGTGTTTTCCTGTCACTAACTATGATTTGCTTAAAGTGCTTTGGATATCCCAAGAGATTCAAAAGATCAATGTAAGTTGAATCATTTAGGGTTTGAGTGCTCATTACAATTTACACATGAGATAGACACTGATAACTCCAACATTTTACAGCTTCTGAAATGAGCTAATGCTGATTGAGGTTTCGTAGTTATCAGCATTGTCATCAAGTTTATAAATGTAAAAGCTGATGCTAAATGCCTCTGATTTTGTTAGCACTTAAGATACAAATATTTTCAAAATGAAATCCTTCCATTAAACTGAAGGTAATCAAGACAGTCTGAAAACTACTGAATTATATTCAAAATAATTGTGAATCCTTTGTGATATCAAGGGCATTAGTTTACCAAACCAAGATTAGGTGAGTTGAAGTGCAGCATTGACTTCAAAGTGCTGAATATGTATGTAATGTATATGATACGTATAAACAATCACAATGAAAATCTCAACATAAGAAAATAAGTGTTTGGTAATTATATTTTAAAGAAATAAACTGGTGAGCTCTACATTTCTAATGAGACTTTTGAAAGATTGTTAGCACATCACATTAAACTAAAAAATGTCTTTGAAAAAAAAGGTCTTGGAGAAAATAGTAATAAAGTAGTTTTAAGCAGTACATTTTGTATGCAGGTACATGTTTTTTAGCTGAAAACTTCACCTCAAATATATAGACGACAATTAAGAAGTAAGCTATGCAGAAATGAAGATATTATTCTACACCAGCTCCATTGGTTTTCTGCATGTGTATAAAAGAGTGCATAGTTATAACTTTGAGGATATTTGACTTTAAATCCAACTCTAACACCTCTCACATTCAGCTCAAAAAGACAGAAACAGCAATACCAATGAAGGTCCTTGCATACATGAAACAATATATAAATGTATTTTATAAAAAGGAAGTTATGGAATGTTTTGGCATACTTGAGGTACATGTAATCTTTATTATTTTTGGCATTTCAGTTAAATGGGTTATAGCAGTGTCTTGCATGCATTTATTTATACACTACAAGCATTATGCATGATGGGAGATGTTACATTTTATGTAATCAAAACATTCTTTCGTTATGCATAAAGTATATTGTAAGTATTGAATGTTTTAATAACATGCAAAATATACTTATATTAATGGAAATATACTTTTACAACATGAGATGAAGTTGTGACAAAGTCCAGGGTAGTTGTCATGGCCTGGGAAGTACAACTGCAACCATACAATGTAATGTCCTTGAGACAATCATTCAGAATATTCTTAGCCGTCTTTCATCCAACTGATATTTATCATGATAAAGATTGAGAGGTAAACTGTGAAAAAACAGTTTAAAAAATAATACAAAAACATACAATATTAATAAATAATAAAATGAAGTTAAAGGTTGAAAAATAAAGTTAACCTTAAACAGCAAAGTCATAGAACATCAACATGATTTAAAAACATGGCTTTGTAATTATTTGAGGAATAATTAGTGTTCATTTAACAGTTTCCTTTGACCTTTTCCCCCTGCTAAAGGTGCAGCTTGCCTGTCTGCTAAAATACAGCAGATCATGGAGAACATTTGGTTTCATATCACAGGTGATAAATAGTAGTTCTTCAATACATTCCATACATTATAACCATTACATCAAGGTCCATTGTAAAAAAACAACTAGGAAAGAAAGGAGACACAACGAGGAAATGGAAGACACATGAAGGAGAATATTTGAAATGATGCAGCTGTCCTACAAATAGACATGATCACAGATAAACTCGTCATGGAGCAAACTGTCAGAGAGTTGTGGTTCAGCAAGGTCATTCATACAGAGGGTCATTTAGAGTGTGTACACAGCAAATGCTTGTTATATTTTTTGCCTTAAAAAAGCAAACATTGTTTTTTGATACAATCTGTTTATACTAGTAACATTTTAAATGGTACATCGCTAGCATATAGCCGGCTGAGATTAAGTATTTGAATGATGATTAAATAAATATGAATGTGCAAAATATTCCTGCCATGCGTCATGGCTTGGACTCTGATAAACACCATTGATGCACAGGGCTGGAGTTGTTTGGACTGTAGGCTTAACTCACAAATAAAAAAATCCATTTGCATTGCATCAAGCATGATTGACGTGGATATAACACGATGGAAATAGTGTGCTACACTGATGGAGAAACATTCATGCAGGTCTACATTTCTAGTCAAATGCAGCGAATCTGACTTTGTGTCTTGGATTTCCAGTGGTGGTATCAGCAAGCAAGGCTAGCCTTATTGCCCCTGAAAGAACAACCCCTTTTGAAAAGTAAAAACATTTATAAAAAGTCAACAAAGCAAACCATTACATCTAAAATAATAAGAGCCGTTATAATATGTTTTTCCTGCTTGAAAAAAAAGATAGTTACATGTAAGTAATACAACTTTCAGTGATATAACAATAATTCAAGACACTGGATAGTAGAACTGCAATATAATAAAGTCAAAGCATGAACTAATGTGTCTTTCTGAACACTTAGCCAAAGGCATCCTTTGCACCTAGAACACGGCCAATTGGTCCCACTAAAGCCTAAATGAGCCACCAAACTTTAGACTCAAGTAAGCATGGTCGGTTTGGCATATAGTTATCTTTTAAAAGAGGGAGTCCAATGGAGGTCTTTCAAAGTTTGTAAACATGTTTGTCCTTAATTAAAATGTCTTTTGTTGGCATCCTCCAGAATTCCTTCACTATTGCTTCTCTGACATGCTTTGCCCTCAACCTCCTTTTCACTTTTGTTCTTTTTCATATTTGTGTCTTCCATTTGAAGTCACACTTGTTACATGAAGGCTGAAGGGCGCTGCTGAAGGTGTCAGTTCACTTTTATTCGGCGCTTAGAAATGTCTTGCGAGTTTGTCGGTGACAACACATCCTCTTTGTCAATGGTGTGTTCCATCCCTTTGAATGTTACACCAGATTCGTTTGAGGGCTTCATGAAAACACGGCTCCTTGCCATAATTTCTGTATGCTCTCTGGATTGACACGGCTGATGTTGTCCTCCTGTTTTGCGACGGAGGTTGGTAGTGATTGGATTCATAGGAAACTTTGGAAGGATTGGAGGCCATGAAGCGCTCCTCCTCTGCCCCCTTTAGGATGTCCATCTCCCCACCTTCACCAAGAACACGTTTTGTGAATGCAAACAGAATGTCCAGGCAGTGAATGCGTTCACCATTCACCATGGGTAGATCCATAGAGATCAGCTACCATCTTGTTAGCGCAGGGTATACGTAACGGTGGGTCCAGAGCATCTGCAAATTCTGAAAGCTTTTTGTACTCCATGAACTGTGTTGCATGAGGATCAAACCTTTTCCCAGACCTCGTAATAACGTTTCAAAATCATCCTCACTTAGTGGGTCGGCGCTCTCCTCAGTGGCCACACGAAGTTTTTCCAGGTATAACAGCAATGTACATATTTATCACAACCAGGAAACAGATGATGAGTAGCTCACAAAGAAGGCGATGCCCCACAGGGGGATTTCCACAGTCTCCCTTAATATCACTGCCAGGATGCTCTGTGGAATGTCACAATCATCTTCATGTTGTTGAGAATGGGCGCAAGAAGGCCATCCCACCCTGCTGAGGTGGTGATTCTGGAACAAACAGATCATGCTGTTGGCAAATGTCTCAAAATTGAAAAGGTCATCAATGGCCTGCTTCCTTCTTGACGTAAGCGAAGTTGACATGCCGAAGATAGCATAGATAAACATCACCAAAAAGAGCAAGAGACCAATGTTGAACAAGGCAGGAAGTGACATCATCTAAGGCAACAAGAGTGTGCGAATTCCTTTGGCACTTTTAATAAGGCGGAGCACACGGCCAATCCGAGCCATCGGATGACTCTGAACAAGGTTGCGAAACAAATACTCTCTATCAGTTCCGAGAGACACATTCCTGGGGAAAGACGAGCAAACATATTAAACCCAACTGTAAGCAATACACACTTAAACTGAAAATTAATAATGGTTTTAATTTATTTGAGCAGTGCTGTGAATAGAGGCGATTCATACCGATGATTGACAGGATGACGACGATGATGAAGTCAAATACATTCCAACCATTTGTGAAGTAGTATTGGCGAAGCGCGCTCATCTTCAACAAACCACTCTCCAGTAAAAGATAAACGACTATTAGATTGATCCAGTAAAGAAACTAGTTTTTTTGTCTTCTTGACTGGTCTTCAGTTTCTACAATCATGGTTACCATATTAAGCCATATTAGAACCATTTATTAAAATACGAATGCTTGTTTGTGGTGAAGTCAAAGACATATCCTGATTTGGTTCTGAAATAGACATAAAGTGGACAAAACTTGTTTTTAAGTGCCATGAAACAAGATCACAGTTTTGTAATACAGATTAGACGCAGACTGCATTATAGTCTACGTTACTGATGGTCTAGGAATAGGCTTTTTGTGGTTCTTTGACCCCAGCTTTTTCATGGCATTGTAGTAGTATTTCTTCTGTTCTTCAGTCATGAAGATGGCTTTGAACCTCCAAAGTAAATAAAGAATATGAAGCATGTTCAATTATAGCAAAGGTGATAAGGAGACACTGCAGGACATAGATTCATGTTTTTTCCCATTTTTTGAATGTCAATCAGAATATCAAGTGAAAATATCCATATTCGTTTAGATACTTATCTTTTTCTTTTGCTGATTGAAGTTGTCTATGATGACACCAATGAAGAGATTGAGAGCGAAGAAGGCTCCAAATATGATGAAAACAACAAAAAAACCAGTACATGTTCAGGCTTGTACTCATAATCTGGTTGTTCATCCTATAAAAGGGACAGGAAATTGAGACATTAGTACTTAAAAGTTATAATCCTTAAAATTGTAATGTCATTTGGAAACTGGTGCTAGCCGTAAATACAATATAATACTACAGCTTATACTCCTAGATAAGACCTGAAGTACTTGTTTACAGTCAAGCCAAACAAACTCATGTTGTTGTAGTAATAAAGAATTAAGTCAAGGATAACTGCAACTGTCTGATTTTCCACACGGTAGTTTCACTTGTGATGTGTGCTCACAATGTGTTGGATGGATTATTTTGAAAGTTTCAAACAACACCAAGGTACATGGCGTGGAGTAGGTCAAAATACTATTTGTGATCCAGCAACTTGTTGTGTAGTTTACAGAGAGAGATAATCACATGGTTTGATTTCAAACTTAAACCTAAGTGTTGTGATATTGGGTGGGATTAATTATCAGTGAGATAATGGAACAAACAGCATGAGTGCAACATTAAAATGTGATTACCTTGCTTCGAGAGTCCACAGCAAGCATACATGATTTCCATCCAGCTCCCTTGACATGTAGCCTTTATAGAAATGAACAATTTCCAAACAAAAGTATTTCTCACCTTACAAATCACTTCTTGATATCCACCAAACAGCAAAAAGACATTGGCAAGATTACATCAACTATTTTTTCTATGATCAGTTACTTACCACTTGCCAGCAATGCAAGGTATCCCATTCCAACATTGTCGAAGTTGACTTTGTGGATCTTCCAACGAGCATCGTTCATGTCGTCACAGTCTGACTTGTTTGCCACCTTTGATATAGGGAACTCTTCATTTGTGGTTTTGTTGACACAATAGCCGAACTTCCCCGCAAATAAGTTTACTCCCATGATGCTGAAGATGAGCCAGAAGATGAGACAAACCAGCAGCACATTGAAGATGGAAGGAATTGCTCCAAGCAGGGCATTGACCACCACCTGCACACCAAAAAATCAACATAGCCCAGGATGTACTGTAGATTTAATGAAAATCTAAAAAACAATGATAACTGCGATAAGGTGGGAACAAAATAGGTATGAGATTGATGTTGTGTTATGTATCTAAAGGTTGTTTAAGTGCGTTACCACTACATTTTAGAGAAGAAACCGGAAACTTTTTATAGAGGCAATGTAATGTCAAATGATTAGCTTACTAGCAAAAACATGTAAAACGCTTGTGAATATGTCATATTAAAGAACAATGAAATTGTAATGTATATTTGACACATAAATAGCTGCTTTTGCCAGTAAGAAAGCTACCACTGGAGATCATCTTAACAGTACTCTGAAAAGCAGAACAATACAACATGAAAGCAACTAATCATTCATACTAGGCTACATTGATTTAGCAGCCGTAAACCCTCCCCCTTTTGGTTACATACGTTGTCCACCCCTGTTTAGACCAGGTTGCGTTGCACAGCAACATATTGTAAGGGGGTGAGAAGTCACAGCAGACATGGCCTCACACAACAGAAAAGTCTGACATTAGCTTAGCATTGTTAGCCTTAGCTTAGCATAAAGATGGAAAAAGGTTAGATACAGTAAGCCTGGCTCAATCCAAAATAAAAAATCCACCTACAACCATCTCAAAAAGCTCACTCATTAACATGCTGCCATACTTTTTAAGCCTTTTTAGTGACTCCAGGAATTCAATGCTCCTAGACCAAAAGGCGAGGAGAAGAGATGCGTTTTGAGGCCGGACTGGAATAGTGTGAGGGACTCTGAGTCACGGAGGGAATTCCAGAGTCTGGGATCTGGATCATGGATCATTATGCCACTCTCTGCCACTGCCGGTGCAAGTCTGCAGTCAGTAAGATGGTGACAGACAAAGATAAATCAAGGGAATCTTTACCCTCATGCCGTCAAAACCGAGACAGGGCTCTCAGTGGCCTCAGAGCTCGAAGGGTTCTCAGAGACTTGATGGCACCAAGTTCAGAATATCCCATGGCATTGGCTACCATACTGACCACTGAGACCTAAAACACAAACAGATGTTAATAAAAAGAAGCTAAGAATATTTTAAGTAAGTTAATGTGGCATTCTGTGTAAGAAGATCTGTTTCAACTTTACATTGACAATGAGGAAGTCTAGCCAGCACCAGGCATTTGTAAAATACTTGGCATATCCATAGGCCACCCACTTCAGTAACATCTCCAGAATGAAGATGTAGGTGAAGATTTTGTCCGCAAACTTCCAAACATCGTTTTAATGGTCTTCCTCTGCTCAATGTAGATGTCCTCAAATGCCTGATCATGGAAAAAATGGGCCAGTGAGTAATTCATTCTAAAAAGGAATCAGACAAAAATAAATACATCTTAAAAATCTAAACCTTACTTTGCAGAGTAAGGTTTTTTAAACACAAATATTTTTCATGTTAAATAAAAGAAAAAAGGTAAACAAAATGCCTCTTTAAACTCAGCACTTTTTAAAATCTAATGCCGGACGTGATGCCTAACACAATATGTTAATACATAGGAGCAGTCAGTCAAATCAGTTGTTCAAAAATAACCATGGTATGTTTTTCCCGCTCATGCTCTTCCCAGTGCTCCACTGCTGAGCAGGACATGAACATGATGAAGCTCTCAAACCAGTTTGTGCTCCACGATCCGGAGGAAACAAGTCTTTCTAAGCGTCCACCACACCTTCCACCAGCCCACTTCCACTTTTACTTGACAACACTGGTACTTTCGCACCACACCCTGAGTATGGAGAAAGAGAAGATGGCAAATCACCTGTTTAATATTGTGTATAAGCATAAACAGTGCTGGGTAAAGTGGTGGTTTTATAGTAGTATTTACTGTCAGGAAAGCAGGCATCAGGTTCAGGCAAAATTCTCTCAGATTCAAAGTCCACAGACTCTACTCCCTCCCCGCCTGGCAAACCGTCTATTGTTACTCCCCCTCGAGGAGCTGACCTGGGTCATCATCTTCCAAAATCTGCGGACGAAGCAGAATCAAACCGTGTTGGATATAGCAAACATAACAGAGCCATGGCAAAGGTAAGGGACTGACATACTGAGAACATGTCTCTCGATGCTCCCCCATATCTCTTCAAAATTAAGTTATTTTCATACACAAAAACCCCATCAAATTCAAAGAGAGATTGAATTAGTATACATGAGGATTTCACATCATGCATGAGGATTTTTGGCATATGTTTGATATGTATTTTCTGTGTTTTGTTTATATTAGGAATAAAATATGTAAGCATTAGAGCACTGACTGCCTCATTCTGACTTGTTTCACCCATTAAATGTTTGCTAAGCCAAGAGACGTACGAAATATTTAAAAAATGAAATATAAAAAAATATATAGTACATTTGAGAGTGGCAGCCTGTCGGTGTTGTACGGGTAGCATGGTCCTTCAGCCTGCTGTTATATGGACTTTCTACAGGGTGTGTCTCCCACAGACATACGCTGGCCAGATGAGAACAGCTTAGCTTGAATGCCCCTTCCTAGAGAATGCAGAGCACTGGCTGTCCTGGGACCAGCTAATGCAGTGCAGGCAATGATGTAAGCATGTTACTGAGATGGACTGTGAGCATTAAAGTCAATGTGTTGATGTTGTGTGCTTTAATGCATCAATATGCTTCTGTCAAAGTGCTTCAGCAAAATTACGAGTAATCAGTGGAACATTATGTTCATGTTTTTTTAAGTAAAATTGCTTGTTTTAAATATCTATTGAAAGCGTGTCAGCAGAAAGCCTTTGTATGTTGTGCGTCTAAACCACATATCCTGTTGGGTAATTTACACTCTTGTGTATTTGATGTCAAGATTCAAAGTCCAAGTTTGTCAAACCCCGACAAACAAATAAAAGACGTAAAGCAAACCATAGAGTCAAGAATAAAGGAGAAACTTCATTGCATAAGTAATTCTCTACAAAAATGGTCTTATGGAGATTTGTATTATTACAAATTTCAAGGGGAAAAAAAGTATGTCAAAGAAAAATAGGTGGTCTGTTAAAATGTTTACTGGATGATTACTGTAGTGTAAATGATGTACACAATCTCCATAATGATTGCAACAAAGTCTTATTTAACCTTTGGAACATCTGTTAAGCAGCAAGCAAGCAGTAGCAACTCAAAATATTGCAAGCTCAGACGAAGGTTGAATAAGTACATTTACAATGCAAATAAAACGTGGGTAACAATAATCATAAACTGGACAGTGTATTTCTTTTTTCTATTGCACTGTGAGCTTTCTTTCAATGCAAAGCACACAGCACCCTTAAGAGGAGGATTCGGCTTCCAAGCACTCAGGCCTAAATGGCACATAATGCAATCTACACACTGGTATTTTCCTGTCTATATGGACTCTCCCCATTAAAGGACCAAAGGATTTAGTATCTTCAGGGGGAAACACCCACATCACACGCACATACCATTGCCATGGACTGGGGGCAAAGTGCTTCAACGGGACTACTGCGACGAATCATGCCACAACCAATAGTGAAATTCTCTTTCATCCATTACACATCCTAAACATTATTTGTATAGGACTTATTTCTAACAGTTGAAAGCACCTTTGATCATACCAATCGCGCCAACTTCACAACCAGAACATCCTTACCTCAGTGCAGCCTACTATATCAGATGAGAGACTGCTGAAGCTCCTCTGTGTTGAGGTTTTCAAAGTCTGACTTCTCCAGAGCAATAGGAACAGTGACAGTCAGACTAGGGTTGTGAATGAAAGACATAATGGAATCATTCACTCTTGCTACTGACTATGTACTTGTCTCCATTTTTGTCCACTCCGGTCACATCTCCATTTCCATTCTTAGAAAAGTCTTTGATGGTATGGTTGGGGGACACCATTTGGCCCTAAAGGTTTGTGGGAGCTCATCTCAGGGTTTTGTCTTCACCCTTCCTTTTCTTCTTCCTCCTGAGACAGACACTATTGCAGCTGCTTCGAAGCAGGGACTTGACGAAGGCAATGCCATTGTGAATCCTTCCAATGGCAACCTGCAACTTGTTCATGTCCGTGTCGTCGTCTACCCCCGCGAGGTTATCCAGAACTGAATGAACTCAGCAGCGGGCCAGGAACAGATTCAGCAACTAACAAAAATGACATAACTTCACTGTAAGATTGCATTTCATGTTTTAGACATTGTACTTTATGATAACAACAGAACACGAGTATTTATAAAATAGTTAATTGTTAAGGTTGGGCTCATTAATTGACCATAAGAGATGAAAATGTACCACAAGGTTTCCAATAACCAAGACCATCATGTAGACAATGATGCACTTGGGTTGTCCCAGCCACCTCCATACAGTCCCAATGGTTTCTATCCACTCTCCACAAAGCACTCGGAAACACAATGAGAAATGAATGGAAGAAGTCGTTCATGTGCCAACGGGGCAGAATGCAGTTTTCAGAGATATTTACACACACCAGTCCTTGTATTGTTTTCCAAACAGTTGCATGCCCACAACTGCAAAATGAAGACGATAATGGCCAGCACCAGCGTCAGATTGCCCAAAGCCCCACTGAATTGCCAATTATCTTGATTTAGTGTGTTAAGAGTGGGCCATGATTTAGCCAACTTGAATACTCTCATCTACAAAAGAAAAGAAAAACAAATTATTTCGTATCTATCAGCAAACAACTGCTACTGAACATGACTTTGGCAAATGTACGTTATACTCACCAATCTGAATGATCTCAGAATAGACATGCCATTCACGTTTTCCAAGCCCAGCTCCATCAAGCTCAAACTGACAATGATTGAATCAAAAATATTCCATTTCTCCTGGAAAGTAATAGTATGGGTCCATAGCAATGCTCTTGAAGACCATTTCTGCCGTTGAAGATGCTAGTAAAAATCTTTATTAAAGCAAGAATCAGAAATGCTGACTATAATAAACATGAAACCCATTTAGCAAAAAGTGTGTTCTTACAATTCACTCTCAGTCCACTCCACCAAATTTCCCCACAGACAGCATTTTGATGAAATTGGGAAGCATTGGATAATGCTCCATGGCCATAAACAATGTGTTGAGCACAATGCAGATGGTGATGGTTAGGTCCGTGAAGGGGTCCATCACAACTAGTTTAACCTTCCTCTTGATCCTCAAACCATCTCGGACAACACTCCCAGATGAGGAAAGTGTTGGCAAAAATTGTACCACCAAGGAGGACACTTCTGCCTCAACTCTTCAAGCTCTGATAAAACACAAGTAATGGTTCAACCGAAAAATATGTTTTAATCTGCTGCATCATTTTTTATTTTCGATTATGCAAGACAAATCCAGCTAGGACACTTATGCCATTGTCTACAATGCTTACCTTCCACTGTGCTAGTTATGACACTGGCTGTACTGAGAGCTCTCTGTCTAGCCTCTGGGCCACTCAAGGAAGTCAATACACTCATGGTCTGCTCCTCCACCCGGTCTGTATTCTGTGTCAGTGGTGTCAGCCTGAGGATACAAACAATTGTTACGGATGCACTGTGTTAGAGAACTGGATTGAAATGCATATAAAGTGGCTGAAAAAATAATATACAAATGAAACATTGAAAAAAATGTAGGAAAATTTGAATGTCCAAGTTATGCTTTGTAATTGTCATTCCTGACCACAGAAAACGGCATGAACAGTTGAAGTGAGTCAAGCATTCACGAAAGCTTTTAGCTCTAAGAAGGGTATTGGGAAGCCTTGTGAAAGGCTACAGTTCATCCATTAAGATTTTGCGCCACGGTTTCACAGATTACCACTGCTAGGACAGTGAAATGCTACTTTTAGAAAACAAACTTTTCAGTAAAACAACAATTGCTGAAATGATCATGAACTTTGGAATGATGTTCTACTGAAACAGCATCCTGATTCCTACACATGAGGGTATTTGATACAGGCAGTAAAATGGTAACAACAACAACAAAGATGGAGTTATGGGCTATAGGCAAATGAAGTAGGGCCACTGGGATAGAGAACCCCTTTCTTACGTGGTCTCCTGTGAAGGCCATATCTACCGTCACTTTGGGCAGAAGTAGCTCCACAGGTGACAGTGGGTGTGAATTCCCACCCCACAGAGACACAACCCCATTGCAGTCTACGAGCTGTGCTTGATCCCATTTGGTGGAAGTAGGAGATGTGACAAGAAGCTGCATTGGTCATACTGCTGCTGCGTCGGATCACTAGTCCGGGGAATAAACAAATGAGCCACCTGTCGACCTCTTAGCGGTGTCCTCAAAAATTTGCTTGTTCATCGTCATCAGCAAATTCATTTTCTGAGCTCACGTCCTGCGCTTGGCTTCGGAAAACTGACAATGCTGGTCCCTACATTCCGTCTGGATGAGAACATGGGTCCACGAAAACTCAGAAAGGACTAGAAGAGAAAGATATTCTTATCATCTTATCATAATAAGATAAATTCTGATCATAAAATAATTAAAGATGACATCGCAATGACCACAATGTCATATGTTGTAAATGGCATAAAACGGTGTGAGAAACAAAAAATGCCTTATGATAATGAGAAGGTTGACGATGTTCTAAATTATGCTTTGAGGACTTACAAGGAAACTGCCAAAATTAAAAATACATGTTGGTGATGAGCACAGTAAGGATCATGAAGATGATGAAGAGATGAAGATTAGGATCATCATGATGCTGATGAGAGTTTTGACAGTGATGCTTGATGATGGTAATGATGACTGAAGATGATGAGGATGAGGATGATGATGGTGAGGATTGTGATGATTGAAAAATCACCCATATTTTTACGAAAAATGACAAAAATTCTCGAGGAAAAAAAAGCATATTATTTCGTGGGAATGTGAAGACAATAAAAATTGCATCTTGATAATGATTCAAATGAATAACAATGTAAGAAGTTGATCAAGAAATAGAAGATGATTATGATGATGAAAATGACAATGCCAAAGGTGATGGGAAAAGAAATGTCATTGTGAAAGCAGGGAATTAATCGTTGCATTGGGCTCACAACATGTACGAAAGTAATCACAGATGTATAAGAAACTAAAGCAAGATCAGTAAATGTTGACAATATTATGTATATATTGAGTAACACATTCTTAATATTGTAAAAATCCAACACAACGTTAGAATTCCTCACAACTATCTGTGGCTGTAATGTAAGCTTGGCAATCTCATTATCAATTCATTAGCTTCTACTGCCTGTCATTCAGTTTGAGCTCTGCAAAGAGCTTGACAAAAGCCGGCAAGTCTTCCTGTTGACAAAGTTAGACATATCTGCCATTTAATTACAAAAAACATTTATCACAGACTTGCATCTTATCAATTCTGATGAATATTCTTTCAAAATATGGCCACTGGAGCACTGTTATTTTCTGACAGGCTCTATAAGTCAATATTTCATACTGAAATACAATCTTTTTTTTATTGAATTGTACAATTCAGGCCAGTATAACTTGATGGGACTGTAAAAAAGTTTTTAATTGTACTAGTATTGATTGGTGCAGAATAACCGCATTGAAGATACATGTAGAAGTAAAATTAATGGAAAGAACAATGCATAAATCGGGCTTTAGGGTTGAAAAAGGACATAATAACCTGAAAGCAGGGCAACAGTTCACATCACATCGGTTAGCTAATATCGCTGTTTCATTAGACAATCTTACTGGCAGATATACTGAACCTGATGCGTGGGTGAGCATTTCATGTCATAGTTGAAGCTGGTTTGCATCCACAGAGAAGCGGCAGCGACCTTTCTTAATACTGTCCTGCGACTCGGATTTAGAGACCTTCTTGTCATCCCCTTTGCCATCATCCTGCCTTTTTTCCCTTCTGTTGCGTCTCTCTTTGGCGCTTTTTTGAGCTGAGCTTAGAGTCAGAAGAGCTCTCCGGGCCACTGGGTTTATCACTGGCCTCGCCTCTCTCTGCAGCCTCTGCAGTTGCTGCTGCCTAGAAGAGAAGTGTGGACAAATGGGGTAAACACATGGAATAGATCTTTGTGAATCATATGTTGTTCAGGTATTAATGACACTGTGTCATAAAAAGTGTTCAACTGCATGTAGAAGTTTTCCATTGTAAGTGAGAACCAAACATATTCATAGGAATGCACTATAACTGGGTCGCAGCTTTTTCCATGTAAACTAAGACTCATAACAGCAAATGTTAACCACAATGGAAACACGGCTATAAAAACAACGTTAGAACCCTCAGCTGTCTTTTGTAAAAACAAATACCTAGTGATAAAAGTAAGATTCATTCCAACTTTATTTAGTTTACTTGAAATCCGTCATTTGACATTAATATTTGGGACATTCGATCGCCCTGTACCTGAGCATCCTCTTGCTGCCGTTTCAGCTGCTCTATCATGGCATTAACTCTGCCTCCTTCTCCTTCGCCTCCTTTATGGTGGCTTGGCTCTGCTCCTCGTAGGCCACTAGCTACTACAGCCAAGATCAGGTTGATCAGATAAAAGGAACCGAGGAAAATCACCAGCACAAAAAAGAACATGTAGGGCTTCCCAGCTGCTCGCAATGTCTGGAAGAAAAAATAAAAACAATGTTGTGGTACACTTATTTAATATAGTTATTCAAATGAATTGACCTTGTTATCTTGTATTTCCTAATTCAATATGTTTCTGCTCTCTACTATCTGCCGTAAGTTTTAGTTATGATTATCATTATGATGTTATGTGGATAGGTCAAAGCAGCATACTTTATGTAGATGTCTCTGTCCCTCCCTTTTACTTGTCTGTGGCCAATATCATTTGAAATATTTAAAATGATCATAAACATTTATAGAAAATATAACTTCAACCACATTCTCATGAGTAAAAACACCTGATTTGTTTTCATACATTAAATAAATTAGATTGAATACCCTGTTAAAACGTGCTAAAGTTAAGCCAAATGGAGTGTAATAAGTGTTCCATATTATGACCAATAACACTGCCATAAAAAAAAAGCTTTTTGAAACTACAAAGCTGGTCATGTCAACCAAGTACACAAAGTGCAGTGTTGTATTACTGTTTGCTTTACTTGCTGATACTACAATGTTAAGCCCATTCAGTGGACATCTATTTACCTTCAGTCCCATTCAAGTTGTGTTTGCCTGAGTTTACAGTTGGCTCATCTTTGTTCCTTCTGACCAAGATGCACCTGCACTATTTAGAGGTTTGTTTGAACACTATTAATACCAATATTGTATGTAATGTGAGAATGCTTTGTCTTTTTTACTGAGCCCTTCCACAGAAGGCACTGCCCTTTTTTGTATTTGAAGAAGCAGACGGTAAAAATACAGCATCCTCCAACACCAACGAGGTCAAACATTTCAACAACCTGCCATGTGTTACTCACAGGGTCACTGAGAAACTAAACGACCAAGGAAGACTATATTGGCATATCAAATTACCTTCATAAAGCGCTACAACATAGTCAAAACTAGGCTAAATTAGGAGTTAACCTGGATGTTATCATTGACTTTAAGCAATTCAACACAGCTGTTATAATACCTGGGCTCAATCATTTAAGGATTAAACAGAAAAACACTGAAGTGTCAGGTTATCAGTATTAGCCTTACAACTTTTTTAATCCAAGCAGGAAATTAGAGAACATTAAACACTTGAATAGAAAGACATTTGCCAAATTCTACACGGTTATCTTTATACAAGCTGCAGCAATGAGGCAACAATAGGCTGTATGTGTATCCATACATGTTTTCTGCAGATGACACTCTGCTTTATTAACCCATCAAATATTTTATTATCCTGCAATAACCTCAGGGTCAGTTTTTCCCTGTTTCATGTGAGGTCACAGTCTTTAAACATTATATTGTCTACGCAAAATAATTATAATATTAAAAGCTTAGTGTAGCTTGTTATAATCATATAAGAACAAACAAACGTATATATGTGCATTCATAAGCCATTCTGAAGACACTGATTCTGGAAAAAGATTGTTCACATATAAATTAAATTCCTTAAACAATCCTCTCCTCCAATCTGCGCTCCTTCAGAACGTTAGCATGTGCCAGATGTTCCCTCTCGCTTACACTGCCTTATCTTTAAACATCCATCGTACTTCCCCTCGCCCGGCTGGAATAATGATGTGTGACTTGATCTGAGCCACTCTGTTTGTTTCCCATTTTCAGAGCCAGGGTTGTGTATGAACACAAGAATGAATACCATATTTTTCAGTGTATAAACAGAAATGACAACAAGCTAACCAAGAGGAGATCTTTACTGAATTTGACCAAATTATTTGAAGTGAAAATCATCTATGCTTGCATGACTTATGTATTATATGACTTCAAAACATCCAATCGTTATAATTACAGGGCCTACCTGCTGGTAAAGAGTCTCCCAGTAATCCTGTGTCATCAGTCTAAACAGAGAGAGAAAGGCCCAACCAAAGGAGTCAAAACTGGTGTAATTATAGTCTGGATTGCTTCCTGCTTTTGCGCAATGGAACCCCTCTGGGCAGTGCCTGCAAAAAAACAAAGAGTCCATAAAGCTCAGAAGAAATGCAAACACAGATGCATCAAACAGCACAAAGATTATCTACATGATGTTGTATCCAGTCTTCTTGTGCTTGGGTATACACTTACCCAGCTGCACTGCTAAATCCACAAAGCAATGCATCTTTTTTACCTGGAAGGATATAGTAAAAACCTGATGGGGCAAGAAGGAAAATCAGACTTTTTTGTCAGCAGTGGTTGGAAAAAAGCGGTTGGAAAAAAGCCCAAGATAGACACATATTATATGTGAGTACACCTCTACAATCCGCAATTAATAATATCTAATAATAATGTCAACATTGGGCTGGAGGTGTCCATTCAAGTCTAAAAGCCTCACAAATTTGGAATAATTTTAAATGGGGGGGGGTTGTATTTAATTGCATATATTGAAAAGGTGTACTCTAAATAGGTGTTGACTATTGAAATAAAACACATGTATAATTATATTGAGTGGTTATAATTGTATATCTACTGATTTATCCTTTACTTAAAGTGAAATACTCACGCTTATCTCGCAGGTAATCAGCCTCTGAGAAACTGCCATACTCTGTTTCAGTCATATTGGTCTTATTATATAATGTAACATTATAGTCCCGGACACACTTGTGTTTTAAATTGCCCATAAACAGTTGTAGTCCTACGAGGGCGAAGACGCTCAAGCAGAAGACGGTGAGAATCATCACATTGGCGAGCTTCTTCACTGACTGGAACAATGCACCAACAATGGTTTTCAGGCCTGCCAGATAAAGAATCACTTGTTATTTCCAGTAGGCAATTAAAAAGCACTGTGAAAATTAAAAGTAGTCATGTGCAAACAAGGAGGCATCTCTCATGTCAAAAACTAGCACCTAATCTGTTGTGTTGGAGATGTAGGTGTGTTGTGCTAGTAGCAGCTAATGTAGGCTCAAACCTAATCTATAAGGCAGATTTAAACTCCCTTCTTGTAAACTCCTCTACCAATTATTTTTAATTTAATTTCCAAGGTCTGTCATCAGCTCCAATGCTGATCCAATTACTCGGGGTAGTTCATAAAACGTAATATTTTTGTCGTCACAAAGGCATTTTCTTTTCACATGTTCTGTAGTACTCTAAAATTACTGTTTTCAGACATTGATGTGTAGAATCGGTACATATTTAAAGTATACATATATTCTTCCCTTTGTTTCCACTATCATTTAAGCATCATCTATAATGAGGTAAAGATTATTAATAAAATATTATGTTTTAATAGCAAACACAAATACTTAAGCAACTCCTTTTGAATATAATTTGTCCTACTTTGGTTACTCATGACGGGTTTATGCATCAAGTATCAATGTGGCAATCAGAGGATCATGCATGTTAGTGATAATGTGCATGCAACAATCATGGGACACACCCACACATATAACATGACACTATGTCTTCATTAACCACATGCAAAGAGGAGCAAATGGCTGTCAATGAATAGTGCAATAAACATAAAAAGCAGCTTGTTCATAAATGGCAACGATATCACAGAGATCTAGGAAAACACAAAGGAACATTAAATATGTTATGTTGCTGCTTAAGATTCCTGATTTTAGTGGTAAATTACAATGAGCAAGAGAATCAAACAGCTGAATTTAGAAATGGATCCACCAGAGACCCCTGGGATTACTTCAGTGTTTTTAGGATTGAGAATGTTCAGATTGCTTAAAGAACTCTGTGAGAATCCGACATACATGTCATAACAGTAGCAGGAGAGGAGGTTACTGGAGGACAGCTGGAGAAAATCATGCAAGAGGCTAACTTACATGCACTTGCTCCTGCTGCTTACCTGGGATTACCGAAATAGCTTTAAATGCTCTCAGCACTCTGAATGTGCGAAGAGCTGAAAAGTTGCCTAGGGTTACAACCTCTGTTACATACCTGCAGAGAAACATATAATTACTATGGAGAATTGCCTGGGTCAACAAAACACATTGAAGCCTGCAATGCTTAATAGATACACTACATGAGTATATTTAAATACATTATCAGGAGAAGCAGTCAAACAGTATACACTGTGGCATGCACATTAGTGAAGGTACAATGACAATGAGGCCACTGTGATGATGAATAAAGGGAAAGCCTGATGATATTCTATATTGTTTATTATTGCCAACAAATTACAGGAAAAGTCATAAACCAACAATTTCCTTGGTGCCTCCATTGTTCTACAAAGACTATTACAAAAACATAAATATGCCACATTGTTGCACTATTTTCTTCCATTATCGCATATATGCACTCAACATGTGTTATTTAACCTTTGTAAATAGTGCAACAGACGGTGTAGTAAAATCCGAAGGTATAAAAAAGGTTATTATTTTGTGTTTTGTTGGCAATATATAAAATATGGAATGATACTAGCTGTCCCTTAAAGACCTAAAACACGTATTATGAACAAGTGAAACATAAAACTACTCACGCCAACACAATGACACTAAAATCCAGCCAGTTCCAGGGATCTCTTAGAAACGTGAACTTCCCAATACAGAACCCTCGGGCTAAGATTTTTATGAGGGATTCAAGTGTATAGATTGCAGTAAATGTGTATCTGTTAGAACAAAATGTAGTTGTTAATGTAGATTGCATTTTCATATTGATATACACCAGTATGTGATTCAAATAGTAGTTCATTGGGAACTTACTCTACATTCTTTGCCCACTCAGGCAGATGGCTCCGTGTCATATATGCACAGTTGGCGAGGATAGTGCACATGATCACGATATTAAATAACTTGCAGGCATGTTGTCAAGGAAATCACTTATATTGTTGGGGAATTAACACATTTTGTCATCATAATTTCATGCAAGGTGCAAATGATTCAGGGATATAGCTTAGTAACCACAGACTTAGTGAGGGCTAAACATAAAAATGATTCACGCTTATCAGAATGACATCTTGATGAAAGGATATGAATGTACCAAAATCCAAATTGATATTCTTCTAATAGGGTTGAAAGGACTCAGGAGGTACAAGGCAGAATCGGCGTTGAAGCGGAAGAGACAATTTCCTCTGTTTAATACTATGAAAGTCTGACGGAAAAAGAGAAATATGTATAAAATAACCAAAAATGAGTAACAGTTCGTATCAACATATATTCCTTACAAATACTTATCAAATTCTGTACATTGCTGATCAACCTAATATCAATATTTTCTATTAGCTTGGTCTTCCTGTCATCTATTATTCACAGCCTATGGGTATATACCAACACTGCCATGATAACAGCTGCATGCAATGATAGAGACAAGAATCCTCATTTCTAATGCAATGATAGAGACAGTAATAAACCAACAAGAAAAACCCACATGTTGAAACAATTAATACAAAAATGTAAACGAGCGTCCTTAGGTTTAACACTTAAGTTTGAAATCAAGCCAACCTACTTTATGATTCATGTAGTATGGATCCAGGTCCTCCAGCGGTGTCGACACCATGCCTTTAGGAGTGTCCCCATACAGGAGAGGGAGTGATTTGCCCGCTTCCAGGTCACGGTTGGGCTTGATGTCATTCTCATCGTTGCGTTTTTTCTTCTCTTTCTTTGGTTTCTTGGCGTTCTCCTCTGTGATACGTTTCTCGATTACTTTGAGGTACTCACGACTAAAGGGGCGGAAGCTGTCTGGACCTGGTGGTACAAGCAGCTGTGCCATCTTTTCATCCTGTGCCTTCAGAGTGAACAGCTAGCCTCCAACATGAGAAAGGCCTAAGGGGTCTGGACAGAAAGGGAGATCTGATTAGAGGTGGACGAGTAATATCTGACATGTAATGGCACTTTATTGGAAACAAATAGTTGAAACTATTTTTGGCAGCACATTTCTATCGTCAGGTTGGAACTGCTTTAAATGGCGAGGACAGGAAAGTGGGTGTCTCTGATCCTTGTCCAGAGATCATCAGTTCAGGAAGTGGAAGGCTATAATGAGCCTAGAGATGGCTGACATACACATAAATTCCTGCCAGCTATGGTAAAATTAGATCTAATTATCTGCTCCTCGGTAGATAAAATTAAGATTTGACATGACAATGATCAATTCCAGGTGAGGTTCTTGCTCCTCTCCTCCATCGCTCAAATTGAAAAGAGTCCACTTTTCCCCAGAGCACTGAGATAGAGAGGAGGGAGGAATAGATCCATCGTACTAATAGGCCTGACTGCTAAGATGTGTTAGGCAGGCCTATGCGGTATAAAATATGAATGCACTACAGACTGCACTGCATCTCTCTGTGCCCTGCCATGGACAGATTTTGCCCAATCTTAATGTAATAGTGAAAGAGAACACTTCCAAACGTTGAGTCTGTGATGCTAAAAATCAATCACAAACACACAGGTCAATCCACTGCCCACAGCACTAGTTTGTACAGTATGTGTGATGTAATTGCAACAACAACAGGAGGTCTACTGTAACTGCTAAACATTTTTTCTGATTGACAGTATATGATTGTGCAAATCGGGTTTATACCAAGAGAAACAGTACGGACACACTTGGATATATTCATAAGAGATTAAAGAAATCAGGTAACTACTGATTTAAATTGGATTTTAAATCAAAGGAATTTGGTATTGAACAAGATAAGCATCTTGACTATCAACACTATGAACACTGCCATTTGTTGTTGAAAGATATACCCTGTTTGCATTGACCACACATATACTGTAAATATTGGCATCAGTTATGCTGTCATCTCTGGACAGAAAGACCACACTGCTGGGTTAGATGCAGTAAGTGCAAATGCAAGTTCAAAGCGTTTGTTACAACTACCCTTATTATTTATATCATATATAACATGTCATTGTGACCGTCCATGAATTTGACTTGTGGCATTAATTTTAAAATATGACTTGTACTCATTGTCATTATGGACAAATGTCTAGACCTGGTATGGTCACTTTAAATGATATATATTATATAAAAACAAACACAAACCCACCACAGCAATAAAGGGCTGGACATTGCTTCCAGGCATTTTAGAGACCAAACAATTCGGAATCAAGTGCACTTAACCTATCTATGATTATCTTAAAAACACAACTCTTTATAACTATAACTAAGCATATAAATATTTAGAGGAATGCAATATGGTCTTGTTAAAATTGAATTAATAAACAAGAAAAATACAAACTTCTTGTAGCTTTTGATGTTCAAGCAACAAGGTCAACCTGCAGCGACTAACCTCTATAGAGGTATGCATCCTTCTGTCAATCGGCTCCCAACTCATTACACACAACTTGAGATATGAGCTGCCACTTTGAAGCTTCAAATAGGCCCACTTGAATTTATCTGCAACTTGTCAGCATCTTGACCCTGTGCCGTCTAACCTAAAATGGATACATTAGATTCCCTCAACTCTCACTGGAACATAATGTCATCACATTAGTTTGGTGTTGCTATTCCTCATACCTTTAACTCCTTCCTGCTGATGAGCGTTAAGTGATGACTGACCTTGGCCTTAAGCCACCGGATAGAAAAGCACAGTTTAAATATTGCATGCTCATTTAAAATATGTCTTTAATTGACCTCAAAGTGCTTCTTATTTCTTAGATTAGGTAAGAGATCATTTGTGGCATCCTTTATTGTAGAGTAACACTACTATAGCAATCTGACAGATATCAAGGCCACATTTTCATTGGCATTAAATGGACTTAAATTGTTGCTTATGGCTGTACAGTTCCAAAACCTGAATGTGTCGCTGCCTTTAGACTTTTGCCAAAATCTTTAAATTGATGATTGAAGGCAGAGTTTATACCAGCCTGTGAGCTACAAGTATGAGAAAACACAGACAAGCAGACCTTTACAAAGGTCAACAAAATGACATAAGGACGGTTTAATGCAATATTCCAGGGGAATCAGTCTCTTTGTATTTTCCAATAGCTTAGTCATAGCTACTGTTACCTTAAAGTATTTTTTCACAAGAAAAACCTGTGGGGCCGGGGGCTTGGGACTTATGGTTAAAGAATAGGTTCACATTTTAAGGCAAAACAGACATGTCTAAATGTATATAGAAAAAGTTGAAGATTGGTGATGTCATTTTCTATCATCAATATTTATCATTGCTGAGCTGCAGTTGAATATTCTAACATAATATCATTTCTTTAATGTGTATCACTCCATACTAATAGGACCATCACTTGGCAGGATAGGCATTTTTAACACAGACAATCACGGTGCATTTTGAATAATAAACAAGGGATTGCTACATGATCAGCACAAACAATTGCAGCTACCTATATGTTCATAAGTCATGTGAGTGTCTTTTATTTAGACGATTTTACGGTTATAAACATTCCATTTGTTTTGGTCAATCCTCAGCTGCTGTAATGCTGACCACCTGAACAAGCCTACAACTGAGCTGAGGAGTTGCCACACAAACTTGACAATTTGAGTGACTTTAGCAGACTTAATGAGCATTATGATGCCTAACCTGCAACATGCCTGTATACTGAGTGATCACAGTTCAGTATCTGTGGGCTCCTAGGGGACCAACACACTAACAGCTCTTAAGTGCTCACAACTAATGCTTGCTGGTGCCTCTTACAGACTATCAGGCATTACATCTCGCTCCTTCAGGGCGTTGGCAAAATAGCTGATGATGGGCAGTCATCTTAAAAATGTTATGGAATATATTCACATGTGTACAGGCTTTCCGTATGTGTAAGTGTGTGTACAGTCTGGATAGAAAGAAAACAGGACAGCCCAATCTCTAATTGACAGGAATCTAATCTAATGATGTTGACAGTCATGCAAGCAGGAAGTCGTCTAAGATGGAGTGTGTGGGCTAATAGTTACTGCCATACCCATTAACTTCTGTAACATATTGTAGCACATCATTTGCACTCTAGCTTTTGTCCATGAAGTACAAGAGATCAATCACCGTTTTTCCCATACAGGCCTTCAACACATAATAACATAATTTGATAGAATGAGATTTTCCGAGGTTGCATCACATTGTCAAGACTGATACCCCTCAGACTTATTTTTTAAAATAAAGACATCACAAATGTTTTCTTAATTATTGTATAATTGTTTTGCATTTCTTTTTTTTAATAAATCTATGTGCTGTGTGTTAATGTAGATAGATACATAGATTATTAGATATATATATAGATATAGATAATTAGTTAGATAGATAGATATACCCTTATTCTAGTTTCCCCCCAGCTACAGACTTCTATAACTAATTTACAGCAATACATTTTTCATAAATGATTAACACAAATAGAAAAAGCACTTTAAAACCACTGTAGAGATTATGTTTACTTACCATCAGTTTTTCATCATCGACAGGTGAAAAATAAGAGCAGCGTGGAAAAGCTTAAAAGTGAAACAATGTTGTTTAAAATGAACCTGCCCGTCCGTTACAAGTGTTTTGACGCTCCTCCTGACGCAGAACTGCTAATTTCCACTAAAACTCTGAGAGAGAAAGAGAGAGTGTGTTTCATACGCCCCTCCGCGCACCACAGTCAGAGTACACTGTGCTGGTGCTTCCGGGTGTTCCTGGGTACCAAGTGAGGCCGGACCTGACTGAATGGCAATGGGATGGTATTGTGGTGGACATTATCATGCGTAATTGTCAGGAATATAGATGTGTGTCATACAGAGTGTATCGGAAACTAAAAGCAAAAACCACAACTATAATGGTGTAAAACACTATCTGCGTGCGTGTATGTGTGCGTGAATGTGGAGGAAGGGGTCAGAAGCAGGAGCCTACAGTAGGAACGTTTTAAAACATAAAACAAGTGCTTGATTCGTGGACAGTAAGGGAGAAAACACCATAAGCACATCAGAGATATATATCTTTCCCTGCCCTTTATATTTTGAATATAAATTCAAATTAAAGATGAAGATAATAAAGATGTTATTAGAGCTGGATGGTTACAATGAGACTGTTGCCACCTGGCGGACACATAAAGCACTGTCAGACTTTGAATTGTTGTGACAAGTATCCCTGACATATGATGCAAACCTACAGTATATGCATCCCTGTGGCCTAAACAATATAGATTTAAACAATTAATAATAATTGAAATGTTCTATTACAAAAATGCATTTAAAATATCGATACAAAAAATACAAAAAGAAAGGAAATTCATGAATGTATCTTTAGAATGTATCTTTCTCATTTTGCTCATGTGTGGAAATAATCATTAAAATATATATTTGTATATATATTTGTATTCTATTCCACCACTTTCTCTGAAAAATTAGGGTCACAGAAGGAACCTCGAAACTAAATAGATTTGATCTTTACAAAGAAATGTACAGTCCTCTACATGAAATACTGGTTGTTTTGTACATTCTATTTCTAATTCCTTGCTTATTCTCTAATCGCTTCCTTCACTGAACAAAGGGCTCTTTTCAACAGGCAGCTTCACAGCAAAATCCTTAAATCCTAATTCCCATGCTTGTGTCAATACATATTTTGGCATCAAGTGTCAAAGTGAAAACTGTTTTTCAGTATTTAGTTTAATTAACACCTGTCTGCTGCAGTGTCACACGCCTTCGTTTCAAAAGTCAATATTTATTACACCAGCTCTGATTTGCACTACATTACAACATGCTCAAAGGTTTCAGACAGGGGTTACATTGTGATTTGTAAGGAGGGGGAGTTTAGGTATAGTTGAAGGTGGTTTTGGTAAGTTTATGAGGGCATAACAATGGCAATGTTTCTGAACAGATATATTTATATATATGTATTATATATATTTAAATAAATAATAAAGTAGAATACATTTGCCAGCTAAAAGAAACGGGAACATTTAATTTTGTGTCCTTTTATAATCTTATTTTGTTGAAGCAATTATTTTTAATATATTTGATGGTGGGGAGAGTTAACCCTCGTGAATTACTGTGAAGTACCAAAATTAACTCCCCAAATAAATAGTATTAGCAAATATGTGTTGTCTTTGTGGTCACTGAAATTCCTTTCCACGTATACACATAAACACATAATTGTGTTGTCATTAATAGGGCTTTTATCTGTTCCCACATTTGTATCTTAGATGATATGTGTGTGGTTTGAAGTGTGTGGCTCAGGTCAAAAATAGTCACATGTCCACCATGGGGCGCTGTTGAGAAGATTTCAAACTTTCTTTGAGGAGGTTAGTTGAGTAAAATTGTCAGCCTTTATTTGGTATTTTAACTACACTTCGGTTAGCCGCAAACACATGCGAGAGTAACACACTGAGGAGACTACGACAAAGAGGAGACTACATCAGCGACCAACAGGTGTTCAACATGACTCAGCAGGTAAGAGATGCTAATGTTGACGGACACAAGGAACACTTGTTGTTGATCATAATTACTGCTCTGCTCTGTGTTGAACTCTTCTAGCTCAACAATGAAGAAGGGACCACATTGTTAACTCCTCAAAAGGCAGCTGGAGAGCCTAGAAGTTCAAAGATATCTGCGTCTTTTAATTTCATAAATTCCATTATAGGATCTGGAATAATTGGTAAATACTCACCTCATAATTCAAGTAGCCTGTGTAATGCCTAACAAGACCTAATACCTGAATTATATGCAATCGATTATATGGATGATAAACTGTAGCTTTCACACTTATACTGATACGATTCAGTTAAATGGTCAAATAACATTGTTTTTACACAAGCCCTGCAGTGGTAAACCCATGTATCATATGACTTGCGCCTGCCCCCCCCTCTCTCCCCTCTCTCCCCTTTAACTCTTTCATCCTAAAAAAAAAACGGAGTCACGATGCAGTTTTGCAAAGAAACACAAAATATCTGAATGACATTCATAACACTTTTTGCATAAACGAATTAAATTATTCAATTTTTGTCCATATATAAATCATGTTATTTTTTAACAGGTTTACCCTATGCATTGAACCAGGCAGGGCTCCCCTTAGGCCTGATGCTGCTGGTAGCGGTTTGCATTTATCACAGGTGGGTATATTAAATTATGATTATCAAGACATACATTTATCAAATGAGTAAAATACTTCTAACATTACGTTTGCATTTCATTGCAGACTATTCAATCATCTTACTAATTAAAGGAAGCAACCTGTCAGGGACAAACAGTTATCAGTCACTAGTGCAAAGCACGTTTGGTTTCCCAGGATTTGTGATTTTATCTGGCCTGCAATTCCTGTATCCTTTCATTGGTGAGTTACTTTTATATTCTTATCGTGGTGTGTCATGTGTAATGTTGAGTGGTCTATCAAATAGTTGACTAATTATTATTATTTTTGTCGTTTTTCTTTGGACTTTTGGTTCAGTTTAAATAATACTGCAAATATGAATAACAGAATGATGATCCACGTTTGTTTCCTTCCTCAGCAATGGTTAGCTACAACATCACGACTGGAGACACACTGACCAAAGTATTTCAGAGAATACCAGGAGGTATGCTGCATACATTTTGTACCACCTCAAATCAAATTATACTTAATATACATCAATAAAATATACTTTTAAGCATCTACAGTGAATTTTAACATATTCAAATGGTTAAAACGTCATGTCTATGTTTTCATATGCAGTTGGTCCAGATCACATACTTGCAGAGCGTCACTTTGCGATCTTGCTATCAACCATTGCTTTTACACTACCTCTGTCACTTTATCGAAACATTGAGAAACTTGGGAAGGTGAGTCTGATTATCACACAGCTTTTAATGTCATGTAGTGATTGAAGCTGCCTGTAAAATATTCATGTGTGTTACCAGGTGTCCTTCATCTCAATGGTGCTGACATTTGCCATCCTCATCATTGTAATCATCAGAGCAGCTACCTTGGGACCCCAGATGTATGAATGAATATTCTGCAAGTTGCTTAACCATAGGGATTCTAATTGAAATGTTTATGTATGCGAGCCATGGGGTTCTTTTTTTAATGAATACAAACTTAATCAAGATTTATCGTGTTCTTTGCTTTAAAATATGAATATCACTCTCTAGCCCCCCTACAGAGAATGCATGGTCATTTGCAAGGTGGAATGCAATTCAGGCCGTTGGTGTGATGTCCTTTGGTGAGTTTGTCTGCATGATGCTGATGATGGGGTGTTTTAGAATTACCCTTTAACCTGTACATACAATTTAGGATTTTAATCCTAATCGCAGCTGTTTTTGAGATATGAACTTTCCAATGTCTACTACTCTGCCAGCACCAAAGGCCTCACAAAGAACCTGATGAATGAAGTTCATCAAGCAGGCTAACATTTATTTTTCTAATGAATTGTTGGAGACCGAAACAGATTTGAAATACACTGCAATTAAATGTATTAGAAGGTCAAAAACCAGATTCCAAGAAGACATTTGTTTGCTAACATGTTAGCCATAACAACTGAGAAAAATTGATTTTTTTGAGAGTTGTTTTAAATAGCTTGTTTCCGAGTTTTTCTGCACCTTAATACAAATACATTTTTGAAAGCAGCTGACACAAGCTGACAACTTTAATAATAATAATAATAATAATAATAACAACAACGCATTTTATTTATAGAGCGTTTTTCTGAAAACTCAAAGACACTTAATGCATTTTGTTGCCAAAACTGTGGTTATCAGCTGTACTTTTTCAGTGTTCTTACTCTGTGTATTAATGGTACTCTGATGTTCTGCACCGTTGTGTCTCTTTAGCCTTCATATGCCACCACAACAGCTTTCTAATCTACGGTTCTCTGGAGCAGCCCACACTGGCTAACTGGTCCCGGATCACTCACATGTCTGTAGGCTCCGCACTAATAATCAGTGCTGCATTTGCTGTTTCTGGCTATACCACCTTTACCGGCTACACACAAGGTATTAATATATGATCAATAATAATTGAACTCCAAGGCAGTAATTTCATTTTAACATCACAAATGTATTTTTGAACTCATCCACCTTTTTTCAGGAGACGTATTTGAGAACTACTGCAGAAATGATAACCTGGCAACATTTGGTCGCTTCTGTTTTGGCTTCAGCATAATAACCACATTTCCACTGGAGTGTTTTGTTACACGAGAGGTAAGTGATACTTTGTCATACGGCAACCTTAGAATTTAACAGTTAAACGTTTACATATGTGAGGGAAAGTGGTATTTTGAGGGTTTGAGCCAAGGACGTGGCTTTGTGACTAAGTCACTAAAAGAAAGGTTTGACAAGCACACAATGTCTGAGTGGTTAAAAGAACAACAGCTGAAAATGCATGTCACTAAGTCTTTCTCAGGCACTCTCAACAGCAAAAAACGTTATAATACATATAATTTGTTAGCTTTAGAACCTTCTCTCTCTTGTTTGTCATTTCAGGTGTTATCCAATGCCATTTTCAGAAGGGATTTGTCAAAAGTAGAACATGTGGCAATAACAGTTGTCATAGTTGGAGCCTGTGCATCTATATCTTTGGGCTTTGACTGTCTGGGAGTTGTTTTGGAGCTGAATGTAAGTGATTTTCTTTCTATTACACCTCTTGTAGCACTTTGGGATTGCTTTAGCAATGAAAGGTGCTTTACAAATAAAATGTATTATTATTATATGAACTTAATCAGTCTGTACCGATCTTTGTTAGCATGGGTGAGTTTTATTTTACATTAACGGTCTTCTCTTCAACCATCCAGGGTGTTCTGAGTGCCACGCCTCTGATCTTCATCATACCAGCTGCGTGCTTCCTCAAACTATCCCCTGGCCGCTGGTTCCAGGGTGAAAACTTGATACCCACCATCTTGATAGTAGTTGGCTTTTTTGTAATGATCACCGGTTTGACCATGACAGGCCTCTACCCTCAAACATGTTCACATGGCATGGAGATGTTCTACTGTGCAGACGCAAATGTCTCTGTCACGGCACCACCTGTATAAAATACACCTTATGTACCTTAAACAATTTGTTTACAACATGTGGCAAAATATATGTACCTTTTATGTATTTTATCTGGAGTGCTTTTTCATGATTTGGACAAATGTTAATTAATTCTACTCAAGGGAATAACGTTTTAAATTTGAACAGATTATCAGGGTTAGGCGTAATGTTGAGATGTCCACATACTTTGGTCATATTTTAAGCGTGATGTTTTTAGTGTTTTTCATGTGAATTAATAATCTTTGTGTTTTGATGTTTGTTTATGATTCAGAAGTGGTCGTTACCATATCCAGCCACACGATGTCACTGTGGACAAATAAAGCATACATTTAAAGGAAGTACAAAACAACAACCCTTAGGTATTTTCATACATTTAACGTCAAAATAAATACTTGTGTTGTTTTTGAAAGTCACGGTTGTGTTGGGCTGTAGTAACTTTGTGCGTAAATGCCAATATGTCAACTTGGACACGATGCTGTTATGCCAAACATCTGAATCCTGGAGGGAAGGTAAACTAGATCTGAGAGACGCCCCACTTTAGCAGCTCAATATTGCAATGCAGTCTTTTGGATGTGCTGGGGAAAGTTGGCAGAGTGGTCTACGGTGGTAAAATGATTTAAACATGCCAGACTTTGTAATTTAAAAGGAGGAGGAAGCACATTTGACTACACTGGAATGGTTTGCCTAAAAGGCGCAGAACACGGAACTTCAGAGCCGAATAATGGATCATTTACCCCAGCAAAATCAGTTTGGAGCAGTCTACATCTAACTTTACCTTTTTGAAGACTGATGGAAGTTGACCACTGCCTCCAAAGCCAAGTACATTCATGGTAAGACATTATTATTGGGCTTCATATGTTGAATCGTTTGCACTCTTTCCAGTAGAAAATAAGTAAAAACAGTTTATATGACTGAAAAACTGGTGACCTCATGTGGGATTCGCCCATATTTTGGTATTTGCCAGTTCGCATCACTTGAAAGCAGAAGGTTAGACCAGCCTTTTTAACATCTATTATGTAAGCCTTTACTAAAATGGTGCTTTTTGTTTGTGTTTGACTAGTCCGAGGGATTTCGTTAAACCAATGAGTTTAGTCATGGGTGATCATGGATCCCAGTCCCATCCACGGAGCTCTGGTCTGAGGTAAGTTGAAATGTCATTTACCAGCTGTCATCTTTGTTTATTTCCTTCATAAGATTTAAGAGGATCACAAGTGTCCAGTCGCCCTTTTTACTTGACATTTTAGAAATTATATTCAGCATTCATCTTTAACTAAGAAAACCCTGAATGAAACTAACATTATTATTTGGAATATATAATCATCGAAAAGATAAACTATGAAAAATAGAAACACAGCCCTTGCTTTTAGCATTATGCACAAATATAATACCATCAAAATCAAGTTCTTCCTCCCATGACACCCTGTGCTGCTTACCACAATAATAGATAGCAGGCAACCAGCTGTTTAAAATAGGAGTCTGTTTAAAGTATGCATGTGTTTTCACCTTAATAATGCAAATTCTAAATAACATTCCTTTAATGCAGTACATCTTGGGGAAGTCACAGTTTTTGCAGACGTTTCAACCTTTGAACTTTCCTCATTTCCTGCTCTCAGGGTTTTACTGAGAAATTGCCTTGACCATATGTAGAGGTCATGGGAAGTATTTAGCAGACAAAACATTGTGCCTCTGTCTCTGTGATGAGCCTGATGATTGCTCTTCTTGTGGAAATCATGCGTTCCTTGGGCTTGAAACTGATATTCTATAAAACACCGATAGGTCATGTACAATTGTCAGGGAAAATCACGGTAAAAGGGCGCTGTGCGTTATGACATGATGGAAATCAGTTTTGGTTCAGGGAGATGATGTCAGCTGCTTATATGGAATCATTAAAAAAAGGGGGAGTGAGTTTCCAGAGCTCTTTCACAGAGTCACCACTCACTCCTTTGGCTGAGTTCTTGAGATTTAAATTAGAGGTGGGATGGAGAATTTGACATATATTTCTAATCCAGTATTCCCTGCTATGCAAAGTTTCCAGTCCCTGCCTTGCTGTCGTTTCCAGTTTGTAAAAATAGCATTGAGACAATCATATGAGGTTTACTAAAAAAAATGGTGTGACCTATAATCATATTTCATAAGCATTGTGTAATCTGGGAGCACAGCCACGCTCCCTGGCAGCAGAGAGCAGCAGACAACGTAAATCTCTCTGTGGTTTGACTGTGATTTGGAAAAGTACACCGCACTCTGCTATAAGGCGGGGTGTGGGAGGGGGACGCACATGTTCTCTGTCTTATTTGAAGCTTCTCATATTTGGAGCTAATAAACTTGCTGCCTCACACTTTTTTTTACAAATGCAGTCATTTGTGACAATTCCATGTGACCCCCCCCCCCCAAATCTACACTCCAAAATAGAATCTGCCAGAATCACTGTCATGGCTGTTCTCCATTCAAAGTTGACTGTACAAAATAAATGTGTATTTAACATTAGTTGGCATTAACAACATCAGAGAGCTTTTTTTTCTTGACTACTGTATGATCATTGGAAAAGTATTTAATTAAATTCAAAAATCAAACTAACATTCATTTAAATATAACCGGTGCATTTTCATATGAATTAATTCAAACTAACTGGGTGCTGCTTGGAGCTGGCCCTGCTAATTGGACACACCTTAAACCATGATCTCACATGGCTGGCTTTCCTTGGGGCAGAATGTGGAATTAGTTAAGGTATCGTGAATCCCCACAGCTGTTCTTGATATGCAGGCAGCCCAAGGGCACAGCTGCTCACATGAGTCTACAGCTGAAAATGATGGCTGGCGGAACGTAGACACTCTAAGCAAGTGGGCATGGAGAGTTGAAACATAGTGACCGCTTTTGTTGTGTCTTAAAGCTTCACAACAACATGTGTGATCAACTTTAAGACTTCCAGTCTGTCTATAAAAAAGACAAGACACACAAAGCTCAAGGTCTCCGAGAACACTGACGCATAACACAGTGTTTTCCACTCAAAACAATCCCCAAGAGACAACAAGGCTTTCTTCGTTCAGGGAAATGTATAATTTGGTCTACAGCGTGCTGCCCTCAGAAAGCCCACTCAGATCTTCTATACTCGAAAGGCAAGATAAAGGATGTCATTCAAAGATATCCCCCCACTAGATGTAATAAAGCAAGAGGAAAATCAGCATTATTTCCCTGCAAGCTTGTCCTGGCAATGAGCTAGTGTGCCTTTTTGTTTTATCTCTTGGATGCTTTCTGCCTCACAGGGCTAAAACAGACAGAATGGCAAACGTCCAGGGGACAGGGAATAATGGGCTGCCTTTGTGACCACTCTGAAGCCAACGCATTGACCATAAACACAAGTGAACCCTTCTCACTGGACAGTTATGACCATTATGAAACACAATTTGTTGGTTATTATTTAGCTTTTCATCTCTAAAGTAGACATCATTATGTACTTATATAATATTGACGTTGTGCACAGTAGTCCGTTTGAAGAGATTTGCTGCCTGACCTGGAGTCTTGGGCCCTCTTTGTTTCTGTTATACGCTCTTCCAGGGAATAACAGTCGGATGCCTCCCACTCTCGGCCTGTGTAACATTCAGAATGAGCTAACATGAAGCAGTCCTTTGTGAGCTCTCAATAGGAACTTTTACTTATCTCCAATAACATTTAAACGTTGTATTTGACAAAGGAACAACTAGATTTGATTTGCATGACCTTCATTATCAGTGTTTGTCTTGTGTACATGAGATATTAATCACGAAGGCCTGGCCAGTCATGAATGGCGTTGCTTGAGTTTACTACAGGTGTGTTTAACAAACTGTCTAGAACTTATCAAATGAGTGAGAAATCATAAATCCAAGCTTAAACCTATATATAGAGGTATAAAATGCTAATATAAAAATTGCACACCTTGAAGTGGTTCTCAAGTTGGCAATATAACTGTGCATATTTTTATACTGTTGTATCCACCCAGATATTTGTGGGTAGGGGTATGATAGCAGTTTCTGTGGTGCATTTTGCATGCGATCAGATTGGCAATGAACCGACATACTGAACCTCATCATTTCCTGACATACACTGCAGCAAGCTAATGGACCACGGCATGACACAAGCAAACATCATCCAGCTGTTACAGTGAGGATATTCAGACTAACATCAGTAAGTAAGCAGCAGAGCTACTTTCTATTAAAAATCCAGTCACTTTGTTTCTATTACAGCTGTTTTTCATTATGCCTCTCAGGGGCTGCTTTTTGTTCAAGTTGCAATTGAATGTCAGATAAAGATCATGCTATATACAGGGAACATTAGGACAAGTTAATATTGGCCGCTCAGTTATTCTCTAGGTGAAAGTTGGAGGAAAGATGCAAAAGTGACTCTTCTGACCATGACATTGAAACGTTGTGTCGTGCTTGCTTTGAGATTGCATGCGAGATAGGGTGTAACCCTACTAACATTCAAATGAAATGAAGTTGAGGTTATGTACAGCACTGAACCTTCTGTTTACACTATTAGCATTGCAATAGGAAACTGAATGTTTTTTTATGCAACATCACTGTATGCATACTGACATTATAAACCTCAGTTCATGTGATGAGCGAGAGAGGGAAAGCATGCTGCTGTGCCTTTTTGAAAGATGCCCCACTGCAGACAACGCTGCATTGTTCCACATGAAAGGATGCAGTGTGATAGTTATAATCATGGCTCAAGGGGGAGCGCTCTCTCCCAGCAAGTTATGGTGTTATTTCCTACATTTTGATCTTAAACAACAACTCCCTTTAGGTAAAGTCAGCAAAAGTTGTTTATTTTCTTTGCAGAAACAGGTTTTTTTTGGAGGGAAAATATTTGATCTGCTCTGAGATAAGGTGGGTGTGATGTACCGTAGCAGCCCCCAGTTCACTGAGCAGAATGACATCTGCTGTTTGGGATCATTGTATGAGGAACTGAGAGGTGATGTTTAATCTCAAATCTCATTACTTAAATGGCTGTCAGACCTTCTAGCTTACTCTAAGTCTGCTGTAGTATTATTCACTGTTCTACACGTAGTGCAAGAGTGAGCACCATGGGAGTCATAATACTAAGTGAAAATGAGGCGGATCATGACCGAAGGAGACTACACGCTGTATAGAAAAGCTAATAATGTCACAAGGTGGGGCCTTAAATATTTGTCAGAATTATACATGAGGATGACGCCCTTAGAGTTTGAGTGTTACCAGGCCTGTGCTGTGGGAACATTTGTTTTTTGTTTTTCCAACA